GGCAGCTGACACTCACACCACGGCGCCCGGGTCGCCCAGCCCTTTCAGCCGGGTCCACAGAGACAGCAGGGTCACCAGAACCAGAACGAGGTCCAGCCGGGCCGTCACCACCAGGGGGAGCTGCAGCATCGCTGGCGCCTGTACGGGTCAGAACCAGAACAGTCAACCTTGCAGAACCAGGACTTCATCGCTCAGAACTTCTGGACCGGGTAGGAGGTCCGGCAGAACTCTTCACATTCCGAAGATTAGAACGGATCGTCCTGTGATCGGACCGGCACCAGAACCAAGATGGACGGTTCTGACTTGTCAACGGCCCAAAGGCTCTGGAAGTTCAGAACCGAATCGGTTTGAAATCAGGAAGGAAAACCGGACTTTAGAACCCGGTTCCTTTCCGAACTGGACCCTCTTCACAGCTTTCTACTCTCGCGAGACTTATCTTTAATCCTTCTCGCGACTCTGCTGGTCCCCCTGCTGACGTCATCCAGGTACCGGTTCGGATGGTCCCGTCTCTTAGCAGCTGCAGACCGGCCACATCTTCTTCTTCTTCTTCTTCTTCTTCTTCTTCTTCTTCTTCTTCTTCTTCTTCTTCTTCTTCTTCTTCTTCTTCTTCTTCTTCTTCTTATTCTTCTTGTTCTTCTTCTTCTTCTTCTTCTTCTTCTTCTTCTTCTTCTTCTTCTTCTTCTTCTTCTTCTTCTTCTTCTTCTTCTTGTTCTTCTTCGTGTTCTGTAGCGGATGGTAACCAAGACAACGGCTCATTACCGCCACCTGGCGACATTGATTTTTCATCAATAGATTGGAAATAATTTGCTATTTTTACGCTTTTGATAAAAAAAATTTCCTGTAGAATTTGTTTCTCTTCATTTTGCAGATGCTTTTCTTTGTTTAATAACCTGGTTCTGGTTCACAGTAGATGTGGACTGAATGGAGGCAGCAGATCTGATCCAGATGCTGCGGCCAGGCCCGGCGCCATCGGGGGGCTTTTGGGGCCGTTGCTCCATGCAAGCTGTTTGTTGCTTTTACCTCAGAGTGGTCGACTCTCAGTCATTCCTATGTCGGTTTGATACTGCAGCGACGTCCGCACATGCCATATCTGTGCCTTTTGTCACTTTTTTCTGCAGTTAAAACTGTTTACTCCGTTGTTAACATGTTGTAACCTGTTTTTCTGAGCTGCCTTTAAATGCAACATGAGCCCGAAGACGCTAGCTGGGTTCTAACCTGCTGCTGCTCAGGTGTGTGTTTGAATCATGGCAGCAAAACACAAAGAACTTTGCAGTTTTCCCCCAAACTAACAGATTAGACTTAAGTAATGCTGCTGGATGCAGGTAATGTTAGCTAAGAGGTTACTAGCTATAGCTAAAGTTAGCTGAGATGACTAGCTAATGTTAGCTAAAGATGGCTAGGTAATGTTAGCGAAGAGATTACTAGCTATAGCTAAAGTTAGCTGAGATGACTAGCTAATGTTAGCTAAAGATGGCTAGGTAATCTTAGCTAAAAGATTACTAACTATAGCTAATGTTAGCTAAAAAATGACTAGCTAATACAAATATATCACATTAAGCTTATTACAGGCTGATGTTTATGTTCAGAATGTCACAATGTACTTGTTACATTCACTGGAGTAACGTTTTTGGAATAAATAGTTTTGCTGCACTGTACCTTTATCTTTTACTTGGGTAATATAATTATTGCTACGTATTCATTTGCCCACGCAAAGGCAAATGAATACTATTTATGCTGACTCATAAATAGGTTAACTACAGAAAATAAAACAAAGTAATGAAATACAAATAATGTGTTTGTATTATGTTTGTACAAAGTCCACAGAGTAAATTATCTGCTCACAACTTTACCCGAACTCAAATAAATAATTTTAGGGTATTATAAGGAAGTGCTGAGATATTCCGTTTCCACCGAGCTAAAGTCTTTGCCACTTCGGCACAAGCGGAGTTAGAAACGTTGAGAGGAGAAAATCACTCGACTCACTGCAGAACTCAGATGTCCCAGCTTTATACTGGCATCTAAACGCACCATCTACACACAAATCTGGGAGCTCCGGAAGCGCGAAATGAGTCTTAAAAACACTCGTGCGTCGTAAGCGGATCTGTGCGTAAATGCAGTTTTGTGTGTGCGTACCAAGTGACTTGTGCGCACTTTTTTATGGTTTATAAATCATGTTTCACAGACACAACTATCCAAAGTCACACAAAGATGCTTACACGAGTTCCAAATGCAGTATTACACACACACAGATATTTTTACACACACAGATATTTTGAGACTATTTTCACTCCATATCCTGTCAGTTCCTCTGATGGACAGCAGTCAGCATTTTTAATCTGGTTTAACTTTATTGAACTTCTTCTGCAGCACAAATTGTTCATTCAGAAAAATCATAGTGAACGTCTGGTAAAGCTGTTCTTTAGTGTGTCCCTGGCATTCTGCAGGTGTGTGTGTGTGTTTGTCTCCAGGTGTGTGTGTTTGTCTCCAGGTGTGTGTGTGTTTGTCTCCAGGTGTGTGTGTGTGTTTGTCTCCAGGTGTGTGTGTTTGTCTCCAGGTGTGTGTGTGTTTGTCTCCAGGTGTGTGTGTGTTTGTCTCCAGGTGTGTGTGTGTTTGTCTCCAGGTGTGTGTGTTTGTCTCCAGGTGTGTGTGTTTGTCTCCAGGTGTGTGTGTTTGTCTCCAGGTGTGTGTGTTTGTCTCCAGGTGTGTGTCTCAGAAAATCTCTGTCCTCCATCTCCACCTCCTAATCTGTCACTATTGTTCTGGTTCTTCTGAAGTCCAGCCAGACCAGACCAGGAAGTGGGTCATCAGGTTCTGGGCTGGCCCGCTATCGGGCCGGTTTTGAGGAGCATCAGAAACAGAACCTCCGGGTACCGGGTCGCTACTAGTTGAGCTGAAACAATTAAAATTGTCTCTGAAGGAACGGACACATGAGATTTAGCAGAGCTGGCTTTTGGTTCTGATCGTCTAACTAATCAATAACTGATCAACCATCAGTGCAGTCGGGCCCAGAGGTCAGAGGTCATCAGGCTGAAGGTAAGAGAAGTGGTTCCATCTGACCGGACTCTGGAGCAGAACCAGGTGGAACCGGTGGAGAACGCGTTCTGATGCGGAAGGGGCCACGCCCCCTTCTGGACCGGTGCTGCCAGCACAGGTCCAGTCTGGTACCAGTGTGGGTCAGAACCAGGTCCAGAACCAGGTCCATAAACCCCAGTGGTATCCAGCCTTTCCGAGTCCCGATTGGCCGCTGCTCCTCCACAGCTCATCTCTGATTGGCTCGTGGAGTGTTCCGTGGGCGGATCCTCAGAGAGAGTTCCCACAGAGCTTCCTCCGCCAGGTGATCGCTGAAGTCATTGAAGAACGACATGATGTCATCATCCCGCGCCAGAGAGTACCGCCTGCAGGGACACAGACAACACACTGGTACGCTGATGGATGCGGTTGGATGCATGTTGGATGCATGGCGGTCGGATGCACTCACTCCCTCTGGAAGCCCCTCAGAGTGTCCAGGATGTTGAACTGCTGCCAGCACTTGGAGAAGTTGACCTTTGTCCCCTGTGATGTCGTCAAGGTGTCGGGGTTCCCCAGGTGGACGAAGGTCAGGTCCTGCAGGATCAGCCCCCTGCAGGTGGAGCGGGTCAGGTGTTAGAGGCGTTGTTATGGCGACGCCTAGACAAGCCATCGGCAGGTGAACCTACAGGTAAGGGATGCAGGGAGGCTCCGCCTCCGCCAGCGCCGCGCGGTACGCTCTGAAGGACGACGAGCTGTCGATGAGCGAAGACAAGTCCTCCAAGCTCTGGTAGACACAGAGGACAATGAGGGGACAGGTGGGACACGTAGGGGGCAGGTGAGACACTAAGGGGGCAGGTGAGACACTAAGGGGGCAGGTGGGACACTAAGGGGGCAGGTGAGACACTAAAGGGGCAGGTGAGACACTAAGGGGGCAGGTGAGACAGGTACCTCTGCCGTGCTCCGCTGCCAGTCCAGCCGTCTCAGGGGGGCGGAGTCCAGGGCGGACAGGATGGACAGGTAGGAGTTGAAGTTGTTGAGTTTCCTCAGGTGCTGCGGAGACACAGCAGGGACACGTACAGCACCTGGACAACAAGGGGACACCGTCCTCATCCTCAACGCTTACCTTCATCACCTTCAGGAACTTCAGCAGGTGCTTCTCTCTGTCCTGAGGCTTGTCCTGCAGGATGACCACGGAGCGAACCCTGGAGGTCAGAGGTCACACACAGTGCAGCTCAGCTGGACTGACCCAAAAGGACCAGGACCAGGACCAGAACCAGGACCAGGATCTGGACCAGAACCAAGACCAGAACCAGGACCTGGGTTTTCCTCACCAGAAGGAAACGTTGTTGAAGTGCTGAGTGAATTCTGTCAGGTGAGGACTCCTCTCCTCGTTCTGCTCTTTGGACCAAAGCAACACCTCTGGCAGCTGAACAGGTGAGACAGACAGACAGACAGGCAGTGAGACAGACAGACAGACAGACAGTGAGACAGACAGACAGACGGGTGAGCACCTGGATCTTGCAGAACAGGTCTGAGTCCAGCAGCGTGAGCTGTTCTGCCAGGTCCTGACTCCTGAAGTCCAGCAGAGTTCCTGGTCTGCCAGGTGAGACACACAGGTGAGACAGCGACCAATCAGAGCGCAGCATGGGCCTTCTAGTGCAGTCGGCTGTTCGGGGCTACCTGGCGGATATGCCTTTGGCTGCGAGGGGGCGGAGCGACTGAGGGGAGCCAATCAGCTTCCACCTCTCCTCCATCTTGGACAGTATGTTGGTGTGCAGGAGGCGGGCCATCCCCAGCTCTCCACCAATCAGAAGGCAGAACACCAGGTCAAACAGCAGCAGCAGCAAATCAGGTTCCAGCTCCACAGAACTGCAGCGAGAGAGCCGAGCGATCAGAACCAGGGGTCCGGTTCCCTACCAGAACCAGAAGTCCGGAAGGGCCCGGCGGTCTCACCTGAGCCCGGCCACCACTCTGACCAGCAGCTGGATGGAGTTCCTGGCGGCCGTCGGGTCAGCGGCGCCACCTTCCCTCAGGGTTCTGTACGTGTTGCTGGTTAAGGACATGGCTGACCCGGACCGTGGTTCTGACCTGGCTGGAAGGACAGAGGCGTCCCTGCAGTGTTTAAGGATATCTGGTCTGCAGCTTGCTGATGACATCACTGGGTGTGGCAAATCCCCGGTAGGTGCAGAGGAAGGCCTCCTGGTACTGGTTTTGTTCTTTGAAAACCCAAACAGGACATCATCAGGTCCGGTCTGGTTCTGTCTAACAGAACTTCAGCTGTCCTCTGCTACTAGTCGGGTCAGCCCCTGTTGGTTCCTGCTCACCTGAGTAGCCCCCTCCCCCCCTCCCCCTACAAGACATATGGCCTCGTGTGATTGGCTGGCAGACGTACCACTGCTGCCGGGCTGTGTGGCTTGGACCAATAAGATCTCAGGAGACGCAGCCTTTACCTCTGGCCCCTCCTCCTCCTGAGGGCAGAGGAGTTAGGGTTAGAGCACAGGTGAGACTTGTGACCACAGCAGAGGGGGCGGGGCCAAACCTCAGACTTCAGAGTGATTCTGTGACGGATCTCGTTCGGGTCAGCCAATAGGAGCTCGTCTTCTTCATCTTCCTCTCCGCTTTTCTGACTGAACTCTGACCCCTGCTGGTGGTCCACAGAGCTGCAGAGCAGTGATCCTGAGTGTCTGCACAGGTGTGTGTTTCTGAAGGACAAGTGTGTGTACAGGTGTGCGTCCCTCACCTGTCCTCGTTCTCAGACTGTGTGTCCTGGAGATGAAAAAAAATCACAGGAATGAAATTACACCTGGAGAAGCTCTGATGCCAAAGCAGCAGATAACTGAACATTTGATTTCCACCTGTGGCAGACATTTTTCAAGATGGCCGCACAGTCCATTTCTGCACTAAATTTCCCAGCGTCCACTTATAGGTGCATATGTTGAACCATAGAAATCATTTACATTGTAGATCTTGCGTTTCCTTTCTCTGTTGCATATTTTTCAAAATGGCCGCCAGAATGTGTTTTTGCACTAAGACCAGCAGCCGTGGTGGGCACAGCTAACCAAAAGGTTAGCTTCTCTTCCCACTAATTCACTCAACAAGAGCCTTATCGCTAAACTGAAGAAGAAACAGCTAATGCTAAATGCTAAAAAGGTTAGCAGAAGCTAATGCTAGCCAATATGACGAATGTCCAAGTCTCTCATCTTGATCTCGTTTTAGTTGACGACCGGTCTGAGGCCCAGTCTGACCTCTGACCCTGAATGAGGGGCTCAGGTCATCAGGTTCTGGTCTGCTGATGTTCTCATCAGAACCAAGAGGTTCTGGCCTGACCCGGCACACAGAACCCAAACAAAACCCTGGAGTTCTGCTTCTTCTTCCTCACCTGTTGGTTCTTCTTCGGTGGTAAAGCAGGGGCAGGAAATGAATCTACAGAGGGGGCGGAGCCTGTGGTCAGGCGGTCCAGCTGGTGGGCGGAGTCTTGATCTCGCTGTCGGACTTTATATTTCTGGTAGAATGAAACTGCAGACGGGTCGGTGGAAGACGTAGAGCAGAACTGCAGGTACTGATGGACTGAGGACAGGTGGAGGACAGGTGGAGACATGTCAAAACTGTACTTATTACCTTTGGACTTAAAGATGAACCATGTAGCGTTTTAGATCCAGACTTATGGATATAAAGTTATATATCTAGAACTGCAGATCTAGAGTCAGCTTCACTTCCTACACCTGGATACCAGAGATGAGGCTGACCTCTGACCTCTGACCTGACCCTCCAGAGCCACATAAAGTCGGTTCTACAGCTGCAGAACCGGTGGTTCCACGGGTGACAAAGAACCACCAGTTCTCCGCCACCCGGACTATGTCACCTGTTTCTACACCAGCCAGTTCTACACCAGCCAGTTCTACACCACCCGGTTCTACACCGCCCGGTTCTACACCACCCAGTTCTACACCACCCAGTTCTACACCACCCAGTTCTACACCACCCAGTTCTACACCACCCAGTTCTACACCACCCAGTTCTACACCACCCAGTTCTACACCGCCCGGTCCTACACCACCCGGTTCTACACCACCCAGTTCTACACCACCCCAGTTCTACACCACACAGTTCTACACCACCCAGTTCTACACCACCCAGTTCTACACCACCCGGTTCTACACCACCCAGTTCTACACCGCCCGGTTCTACAGTCCTTGATTTATAAATGACTGTTGCTGCTGGATCAACCTGCTGGTTCTGGTTCTGCAGCAGAACCAGAACCAAACATGGAGGTGCAGCTTCTATGCTCCCCAGATCTGGAACAAACTTCCAGCAAACTGAAAAACTGCTGAAACCCTGAGCTCCTTTCAGGCTGAACCGGGCTGGTTGGAGTTGCTATGGAAACATGATTTCAATTTCAATTGTTGCTTCTATGTTGTATGAATTTGTATTTCTATCATGTAAATCTTCATTTTATGCTTTGCAGATAAAGTTTGATGGATTCAAAGGGTTTTCAAACTTCCACCAATCAGCTGCTCCGTTTTCACTCACTGTGTCGCTTCTTCTCTGGGAGGGGGGGCGGCGTCTTACTGGGGGACAGGGGGGAAGACAAGGGGGCTTCAAGGCCCATGACATCATCACCGGGGGCGGGGCTTGTGTCCACATGGGTGGAGTTAAATCCAAAGGCGCACGCCTTCTGAGAGCCGCTGACGCCTACAGGGACAAGACAGGTGAGGACGGACAGGTCCAAAGTGCTGAACAGACGTCCACAAATAAACTTTTTCTAAGAAAGTCAATAAATAAGTTCCAACATTACAATAAATCACAGAGACTTCAGTGAGAAGCGACATTAAGAAGCATCTTGAAATAGTTTCAGAGTTAATGAGACCTGAAATAAAACAGAAAATCCTCAAAGAAAAATCTGCAATTATCCAAAAGGTTGTGATAAAAACATTTCTCTCAAATCCTTAAAACAGAAGGAAAACCTCATCTAAATAAAAATTTCAAAAAACCTGTGTATCCAAATGGCTGTCAGAGCCAACAGCAGCGTTTTCCATTTTGAAATGGAGGGAAGCTAACAAGAGCTAACAAGAGCTGTTTCAGTCCTAGCATGAAAATTATTGTCCTAATAAAAAAGTCCAAAGCTTTTATTTTTGCTAAGATGAAGAAAGTTTGAGTTTGAAATAGTCAGCCTAAGACTGTAGAGCCATTTTTATTATTTCTACAATAAGCTGACTGACCTAACATACCTAGCCAAGCCAAGGTAAATCAGCTAACCCAGCTAGCCAAGCTAAATCAGCTAACCTAGCTGGCCAAGCTAAATCAGCTAACCCAGCTAGCCAAGCTAAATCAGCTAACCCAGCTAGCCAAGCTAAATCAGCTAAACTAGCTGGCCAAGCTAAATCAGCTAACGTAGCTAGCCAAGCTAAATCAGCTAACCTAGCTAGCCAAGCTAAATCAGCTAACCTAGCAAGCCAAGCTAAATCAGCTAACCTAGCTAGCCAAGCTAAGAGGACATCAGTCTACTGCAGCACCTCAGAGTTCAGATAGAGACAGAGGGACACCTGTGGTGCTGTGCCGTCTCTTCTCCGGCAGGGCGGGGGGCAGTGGGGGCAGCGTCTCCGAGGACGACAGGTTGGTGTGGAGGAAGTCGTAATCCGGATCATCCTCTGAGAACAAGACAGAATCAGAACTGGGTTCAGTCTCGGATGGTTCCTACATCATGACCAGAACCAAGAACCAGGACTGAGGCGGTTCTGAGTCCCACCAATCTCTGGAGGACTGCAGGAGAAAACTAGGCTGGTCCAGTATCAGGTTCTGGGTCCAAGTTGCAACCAGCCCGATCCAATGCAGCAACTGGTTCTGGTTCTTGTTTACCTTCCTGCTGCATTCACTGCCAGCAGGGGGCAGCAGTCACCAAACGCAGAAAGGATGTGATGCTGTGGGCAGGAAGTGTGTGTGTGTGTGTGTGTGTGTGTGTGTGTGTGTGTGTGTGTGTGTGTGTGTGTGTGTGTGTGTGTGTGAGAGAGAGTGTGTGTGTGTGTGTGTGTGTGTGTGTGTGTGTGTGTGTGTGTGTGTGGTGGTTACCACTTGCTGAGGTGTTGGCTGCAGAGTCTGCAGAGGAAGAAGAGAGTCGCTTGCAGCAGCTGTCATCCTGAAACACACACACAGAGTGTGTGTCGTCAGCATCTGCAGGTCTTCCGGGCCACCAGTTGTAACAGTCAATGTATTGTTTGGTTCCTGGGGATTGATGGGTATCGCCACAAGGGGGCGCCTGTTGTGTCTTTAGTCCAACATAAATAAAGATTCGACTCGGAGGTTCAAATGAACGTGACTTTTATGATATTCACTTCAGTGTCGAATACAACATATCAATGCGCAGGCGCATAACATAGAAAGCAAATAGATCCACTATATATACTACAGCGCCTTCTCCCTTTTTGCGTGTTCTGTTGTAGAGAGGAAGAACTTCTCTCCCATGTCGTAGAGATGATCGGTGATGGCGAGATGCGGTGCGGCTGCCTGTCGTTATTTTATCTCATGTATGAGATTTAAATGTCAGCACGTGGAGAAATAAATTGAAAGGTGCGGAATACCTCAACGGTGTGCCCTTCTATCTCGAGTTAGCGTGGCTAACCTCCACCGCTAACTTCTCCAACCTCGCACTACACCGTCACACTTTGATCACTTTTTCTGAATGAATGTCTGACTGCCATTACCATAGCAACCAAGCAGACGGCATGTTTCCTGAGTATCAAACCCAAACGGAGCAAAAATGAGGGGAGCGAAGGCTGCGCCCTGTGGAAGGACAGCAGAGGACCCCGAACCAGCGGGGTTCCGTCTGATGTGTTCTGCTGAAACCCCGCTGGCTCTGTGAGTAGTTAGCAGCTGTTAGAAACTTTTAGCAGCTGTTAGCAATAGTTAGCAGCTGTTAGCAGTAGTTAGCAGCTGTTAGCAGTAGTTAGCAGCTGTTAGAAACTTTTAGCAGTAGTTAGCAGCTGTTAGCAATAGTTAGCAGCTGTTAGCAGTAGTTACCAGCTGTTAGAAACTTTTAGCAGTAGTTAGCAGCTGTTAGCAGTAGTTAGCAGCTGTTAGAAACTTTTAGCAGTAGTTAGCAGCTGTTAGCAGCAGTTAGCAGTAGTTAGCAGCTGTTAGCTGAAGCAGAACAGCAACAGATTCAGCAGAGCCGTTTGAATGTTAATAATTTGCTGAACGTTCTGAGTTTGCTAACAACAACTTCCTGTGAGTCTTTATAAATAAAAGCCTCTTGGAGATCAGCTTAAAACGAACTATTTGGTCAAGAAGCCATTTGGGTCAAGAAGTGGCTGCACACTGACAACGCTGCTGACCCCTTTACATCACATGACCTTACCTCCACCTGCAGGTCTTCCTCAGGCTGCCGGATTATTGGCGTTACTATCGCAACCCTGCAGCGGGCAGAAACAGGAAGCGCCGGCGTCTGGCGCCTTTTAGGAGGCAGAGCGGGAGGACTGAAACAGGGAGAGAGAGTCGGGTTAGAGGACACGTCCACAGATAGACATGTTTGTCCAGACACACGCCCCTGTGGTTCAGCGTGAGACTAACAGCTCCACCTTCTGGTGGTATGCAGGTCCTGCTGTCGCCACAATCAGCTGATCTGGAACAGAGACAGTTTCCGCTCCACTGTCGCCACATGCTTGACCTTTCCTGATCTTGACCTTGCAGCTACCTGTGTGAGCGCCTGCTCAAAGACCACGAGGAGAAGATCAGGGAGGGCCTGGTCCAAGACGTACACGCCTTGGACCAGGCGCGTACGTCCTGATTGGACCAGGACGTACTGCGCGACTGGACTGGACCACTGGACTGGACTGACAGTCCAACTTTTTTTTTTCTCTGTCTTTCTTGGGTGAGGGCAGACGCTTCTTTCCTCTGCTCCCTAACCCTGAATCCATCTTGGAGAAGTTGCATGTCTCGGCTCAGTGGAACGACCAAACTGATTTGGATGATTGGGATGAACTGAGATGTTTCAGAGAGACTTTATGGAAGATTGAAATGTATAATCTACCCGACCGAAGACATTCTGTATTTCCTGTGTTGCCTTGGAAGGGATGCATATTTCTAATCTCCTTGAAGAAATGTAAACATAATGCTCCTTCCCACCTCCTGTGATCCATGCAGCTGTGGATCGGAGCGCTGCCAAGGACTTGCCTTGATAACAACATTTTATTGGACTTCTGCCGGGAGACGGAGCAACCTGGTTTCATGGACCCTGATGTCACCGCCTTCATTCACGTCTTTGTTTTGTCTGAATGTTTGTCTCTTGTGTCCTTTCCTCTTTTTATTTATTCCTCTTTTATTATTTAGAAACGGTAGAGTACTCACTACTTAGACCAGGATTAAACTTCTTAGATTAATTTTTAGATTATTATGCAGAGAAATTCCTATTAATGCTACTCCTATCAACCCTAATCCAGGAAAGGACTTAGAAAGAATTTAGAATCTAGAAAACGCTGTCCTCTACTGAACAGACATCCAGCCTGTCCAAACAGAAGACAAAGCTTTTCTCTGATCAGAAATGGACATTTGGAAGCCTGGAGTCCTCGACGCGGACGTCGCGAGTTCGATTCCTTGCTGTCATATAAGGGACACTAGATACACAAAACGCCTGGAGGGGGAAAAAAAAGTAATGGAAACCTAATGTCTCAGTTTGTCCCTCCACTCATACTGAACCAGTCCGGTTCTGGTTCCGATCCGGTTACAATCTGATCTGCAGTTGGTTGTCTTTCTGGCCATCTTGTCTTCTTCATCTGCTCTCCATGCAGACAGGAAGTTGGTGGAGAGAGCAATAGTCTACTTCCTGTTTCTATTTGAGCTCAGAGCTCCTGGTTCTCACCAAACATCAGACTCAGCAGAAGCAAAACCCGGAGAGGTCCGGTTCAGTATGAACGGCACCGAACCGGCCCAGACCCGGTCAAAGCTGGACTCACCTGAACGCGAGGTCCTGAGGGGGCGTGGCCTGGAGGAGGGGCTCTAGGACGGGCATGGGGGGTTTAGGCGGGGCATGTGTCCCCTCCCCCTTTGTCTCCATCTCGTACCCCAGTCCCTCGCCTGAGGAACAGGGTGGCCTCTCAGTGGACGTCTCCTGGTCTTCAACGTCCACGGATTGTGATTGGACAGGAGACAAGGGGGCGGAGCCTTCCCGTCTCTCTGCAACCAATCGGACGAGCTCCTGGAGGCCAAAAGACAACGCTTACTGTCCCCAGTGGACAAACAGAGGACACAGAGACCGTCCACCAAGGACACCTGTCCTCACCTTGGCGCTGTTCAGCACGCCCCTGATCACCGTGGTAACGCTCACCGAAGACCCACCGTCGCCATGAGAGACGCCCTCCAGCATCACCCGGTCGGCCCAGCGGATCAGCTGAGCAACGGCACCGTACAGACGGGCGAGACGGGCGGAGACAGTCTTACTGGAGGGACAGGAGTCAGGATGAGGACAGGAGTCAGGATGAGGACAGGAGTCAGGGTGAGGACAGCGTCCCCTTCCTCACCTGTCCAGCTCGTCTGGCTCCAGCTCCACCAGTGCCTGGACGGCTTCCAGGATGCCGGTGGAGGCTCCGCCCAGCAACCCACCCATCATGGACCGGTCCAGGCCCAGTTTTTGTCCCGTGGGTCGGTCCAGGTCTAGTCTGTCCACAAGGGCCTTGAAGTACTGGAGAGAGCTGAGGACGGCGCGCTCCTGGTCCAGCAAGATGGCCGACTGCAGAGAGGCAGCGTCATCAGAACCACAGGAACACCAGCTACAGGTTGGACCGGATCCCAGAAGTTCTGAGCCGACCTGGTTCAGAGGCCGATCCCAGCTTTTTTCAGCCAGGGAATTTACTGACTGACAAAGATTTGGTTTGGAAGAACCAGAACCAGAACCTCTTGATGTTCGTCTCAGTGTTGATGTGGAGGGCTGCTGATGTTACTAACCATGCTAACACTGCAGTGAACAGTCTGAGTTAACATGCTAACCATGCTAACACTACAGTGAACAGTCTGGGTTAGCATGCTAATCATGCTAACACTGCAGTGAACAGTCTGGGTTAGCATGCTAATCATGCTAACACTGCAGTGAACAGTCTGAGTTAACATGCTAACCATGCTAACACTACAGTGAACAGTCTGGGTTAGCATGCTAATCATGCTAACACTGCAGTGAACAGTCTGGGTTAGCATGCTAATCATGCTAACACTGCAGTGAACAGTCTGAGTTAACATGCTAACCATGCTAACACTACAGTGAACAGTCTGGGTTAACATGCTAACCATGCTAACACTACAGTGAACAGTCTGGGTTAGCATGCTAATCATGCTAACACTGCAGTGAACAGTCTGGGTTAGCATGCTAATCATGCTAACACTGCAGTGAACAGTCTGGGTTAGCATGCTAATCATGGTAATACTGCAGTGAACAGTCTGGGTTAGCATGCTAACCATGCTAACACTACAGTGAACAGTCTGAGTTAACATGCTAACCATGCTAACACTGCAGTGAACAGTCTGAGTTAACATGCTAACCATGCTAACACTACAGTGAACAGTCTGGGTTAGCATGCTAATCATGCTAACACTGCAGTGAACAGTCTGGGTTAGCATGCTAATCATGCTAACACTGCAGTGAACAGTCTGAGTTAACATGCTAACCATGCTAACACTACAGTGAACAGTCTGGGTTAACATGCTAACCATGCTAACACTACAGTGAACAGTCTGGGTTAGCATGCTAATCATGCTAACACTGCAGTGAACAGTCTGGGTTAGCATGCTAATCATGGTAATACTGCAGTGAACAGTCTGGGTTAGCATGCTAACCATGCTAACACTGCAGTGAACAGTCTGGCTTGGTAGCTTGGTAACCATGTTAAGTGCTAACAGAGGAAAGCCAGGTGACCTTGTGACCTCTGCAGGTTCTAGTTCTAAACTACTTCACTCAGAAAGGAGGAGTTCAGAATAATCATTTTCTACTTTATTAATTTTATATTATTGTAATTAATGTCATGATTTTATTAATTACTGCTTTCTGGCTGATGATGATGATTAATATCTGAATAAATTCTGACCGGGTTCTGACTTAGGTCCAGGTCTGGAGGCTTGGCCCGGGTCCGGTTCCGCTGGGGGTGGAGCTTATCCTTCAGCTTCATGGTGAGGAAGACGATCTGAGAGGCTGAACAGAAAACCTTCATCAACAATCCATCAAAATAAAAGCCTCTCAGGTGAGTTGGCAGCAGATAAATCTGTGATTTGATTGGCTCAGCTGTTTAAGCTCCGCCCACTGGGGGATGCTTCCAGAGGACTGCAGGCCACAGCCAGCAAAGGTCAAAGGTCAGGGCTCACAGAAAGCCTCTGTTCTAGAAACAAGATGGCCGCCGGTCTCAGGGTAACCTGTCACAGCAGAACCAGAACCGGAGAGGCTGGGTCTGAAACCGGGTCACCAACAGAACCAGGATCCAAACATAGCAGCAGATCTTGGAGCACAATGGTCTAGTCAAAGTAGGAGCTGGTGCTGATCCGTTCCGTTGTTCTGTTAAAGATGACCCGGGATTGGATGAGTTCTGATAGATGAACTCAGACTGGATCAGAACCAAGTTGGTCCAAACAGAACCAGCTGAGTGGATTCATCTTGTTGGAACCAGAACTGGGTCCAGAACCACATCCGAACCAGAACCAGGATGTTAAGGCTGAACTGGTGATACCAGAAAGTTCTTCCTGTCTGGTCTCAGAAGCCGGATCGGTTCTGATCTGTCTGACTTCTGACAGCGTCCGGGTTCTGGTGCTTCCTTCACTGTCACCTCAAGGCGTGGGACGGAACCGGAGCGGGTTCTGCTGCAGGAAGTGAAGCGCGAAGGAAACTCACCTGACTTTGAGTCCGAGCGGGAAGACATGGCTGGAGGGACAGTTGGACCCGGCGGGACAGTTGGACCCGGCGGGACGAGACGCTCTGATCCTCTCAGTCTGGGTTTGTCGACCAGCCGCCTCACTTCCTTCCTCCTTCTCTTCTTCCTCTTTCTGTGAAACTCAGCCTTTCGGTAACCATGGCAACAGCCAGGGCTGCTCTGAGGTCAGCAGCTCCCCCTGCTGGCCGAAAGCGCTCAGCGCAGGAAGATCAGCTCCAGCTGCAGGCTGGTCACTGCCAGAACCTGAACCGGTTCAGACTGGATCCAGAACCAGTTCTGGGTAGATTGATAAAATTTGTAAAAATTTCCTTTTAGATCCAGAAGTTCCCATCCTTCTCTTCAGGACTGGATGGAATCTCCTCAAACCATCAGAGCCTGGAATATCCTGGAATGTCCTGGAGGAACCTGGAGGATTCGGCCAGCCTGTTTTCCTTCATGATTCTGGAGTAACTTTTATTAAATATGTTTTTTCCATGGTAGTGAATCTGCCACCATGTTTGTTGTGAAACAGATCCAATCAGAGTCAGGAGGAGGGGCTTAGTGTTGTCAGTCAAACTAATGTATGCGCTGCTAAATGTGCTAATAGAGGATAAACAACTTACCCTATCAGGAAACTACCTGCCTTCATCAGTCGCCATGCTAATTAGCTTAGCATTCATTCAAAGCAGCATGTACACAATCAATCAATCAAATTTTATTTGTATAGCACATTTCAGCAGCAAGGCATTTCAAAGTGCTTTACATCATAAACACAAGAACACAAAGTCATGCAACATATAATAAACAACACATTGTTACATATTACATTTCTAATCAAACTCTAATCAACTGGTTTTTAGTTGAGATTTAAAAGAAGTCAGGGTTTCTGCTGTTTTACAGTTTTCTGGAAGTTTGTTCCAAAGTTTTGGTGCATAGATGCTGAAAGCTGCTTCTCCTCTCTTGGTTCTGGTTCTGGGGATGCAGAGCAGACCAGAACCAGAACCTGAGAGTCTGGAAGGTTGATACAACAAAAGCAGATCTTTGATGTATTGTGGTGCTAAACCGTTCAGTGATTTATAAACTAACAACAGTATTTTAAAATCTATTCTTTGAGCTACAGGGAGCCAGTGGAGGGACTTTAAAACTGCTGTTATGTCTCTATCTTCCTGGTTTTAGTGAGAACAGGAGCAGCAGCTTCTGGATCGGCTGCAGCTGGAGGATTGATTTGTTGGACAGGCCTGTGAAGACACTGTTACAATAATCAGTGCGACTAAAGATAAACGCATGGATGAGTTTCTCTAGATCTGGCTGAGACATTAGTCCTCTAATCCTGGAGATGTTCTTCAGGTGATAGAAGGCCGACTTTGTAATTGTCTTTATGTGGCTCGCAAGATTCAGGTCAGAGGTCATCACTACTCCCAGGTTTCAGGCTGATCGCTAGTTTTTAGTTGTAATAACTGAAGCTGTGCATTGACTCTAGATCTATAGCTCTAGATCTATAGCTCTAGATCTATAGCTCTAGATCTATAGCTCTAGATCTATAGCTCTAGATCTATAGCTCTAGATCTATAACTCTAGACCTATAATCTAGATCTATAGCTCTAGATCTATAGCTCTAGATCTATAACTCTAGATCTATAGCTCTAGATCTATAGCTCTAGATCTATAGCTCTAGATCGTTCCTCTTTAGGTCCAAAAATAATGACTTCAGTTTTATTTTTGTTCAGTTGGAGAAAGTTTTGGCACATCCACACATTTATCTGTTCTAAACATTTATTCAGTGATTGGATGGGGTCAAAGGTCACCTGGTGACATCGTAATGTAGAGCTGTGTGTCATCCGCATAGTTGTGGTAGCTAATATTATTTCCTGTTATGACCTGAGCTAGTGGGAGAATATAAATATTGAATAAGAGGGGTTCTAAGATTGAACCTTGGGGTACCCCTCATGTGACCTTTGACCTCTTTGATGAGAAGTTTCCCATTGAAACAAAGAAATTCCTGTTCTTTATGTAGGATTCAAACCAGTCGAGCACCGAACCAGAGAGTCCAACCCAACTCTCCAGTCCATTCAGTAATATGTCAAAAGCTGCACTGAGGTCCAACAGAACCAGAACCAGAACCAGAACCAGCACCGTGGTTCTCCCACAGTCCGTATTTATATGAATATCATTGAATACTTTGACTAGGCCAGTCTCCGTGCTGTGGTAACCATGAAAACCAGACTGGAAAGAATCAAAGCAGTTGGTCATCATGAGGAAACTATTTAATTGTTGACACAGTTTTTTCAATAACTTTGCTGATGAATGGGAGGTGTTGAAATAATATTTTAAATTAGCACAATACTGCACAGGATAGTTTTGATACATATGAAATATACCATAGAAAGTTAAAGTACACTCTACGTTCACATAAATTTAGATAAAGATCCAAACTAAAACAACTGCTGAATCTCTGAACTTATATAAATTCTTAGGGAGGATTCTACAGAAAACAGGCCTAGAATCTCTTTAGACAGGGAGTCTGTCTGCCAGGCAGTTAACAAATTCCTGAGCATGGTTTAAAAGTTCACTAGGATCTTAAAACTTTTTATAAATAATTTTATCTATATTAGAATTAACTATATTCCTTTAAGCATGTTTTTAATTAGTTACTTATTAGATCCAAACTTATAGTTAGTATTAAGCAATACATTTTGTGCGAGTTTGTTTTAAAAACACCAACTGGTTTCTTGTTGAAGCATTTTGAGGCAGAGATAACGCTGCAGACGCACGCCATAAATCACATCGTCTAAGAAGCTCTTTTTGTGGTTTTTCCCTTTCCACATTTATCTGAACCATTTGAGCTAACAAAGTTCTGGCGGAAGTTTTTGATTTTCATTACTACTGTATATTATTGGTTGGGGCAGCTTGCTCTGAAGACCTCCATGCTCGTCATAAGGAATAAGGCGTGTTTAGTTTATAAAGGACACGTTTTTTTTGTGTGTCTAATTTTAATTTCTCGTTATGGGGCCCTCCATCTCAGCCACTCTTCTTTTGTTTTTTCTTTTGCCATAGATATAAACACAATGGTTACACCACATGATATATTGATGGCCTTGTTACTAATATTGATAAAAGGACATAAAATATGGGGACTGTAGTTAAGATATTCTCCTGGAATGTTAATGGCCTGGGTTCATACACTAAACGATGTAAAGTATTCAAGTATCTAAAACAGAAAAAAGTAGATGTGGTGATGCTACAAGAAACACATATGTTAGAGAAAGACGTTAATAGAATTAAAGACAGATGGGTGGGACAAGCTTACCACAACACTTACAAACAGAAAAAACGAGGAGTATCCATCTTATTTTCTAAACATCTGTCAATTCAAGTAGAGAAAGAATATAAAGACAAAGAAGGTCGAATAATTGTTTTGCTAGTCAACATCGGAGGACAGAAAACCATTATTGCTAACATTTACGCTCCCAATATGGAGGACCCAGACTTTTTCTTACAACTTAAGAACACTTTTATGGATTTTGGGGACTTCCCAATTGTTCTAGCAGGAGATTTTAACCAAGTCTTAGATACTGTTTTGGATAGATCTGGGAAATCAATTCCTAAAAGTAGTAAAACCCAGGATGCGATCAAAGATCTATGCAGATATGCTGGTTTATCAGATGTTTGGAGACTCTTAAACCCCTCAACTCGAGACTATACATTCTTCTCAAATAGGCACTCGGTTTATAGTAGGATAGACTATTTTTTGATCTCACACATTCTCATTGAAAGCGTTGGAAATAGTAACATTGGTTCAATAGCACTAACCGACCATGCCCCCATAGACCTAGTCCTACAATTGGGATCTCATTATGAAAGAGCTAAGGGATGGAGGATGAATACCAGCTTACTAAACGACGATGATGTATGCAAAAACTCAAAGAACTAATTACTGAATACTTTAAAATTAACAATAACACCGCAGACCAAAACTCAATCTGGGATGGCTTCAAAGCGTATATTCGGGGAATATTGATACAACACTCAGCCCGGATCAAAAAACGAGATTCCCAAAATATAAACCTATACGAAAGTGAGATAAAGGTACTGGAAAGGGACTATTCGGAAAACCTTAACCCATCAACTTTTGACAAACTTGTTAGAGCTAAATACGAGCTAAATACAATATTTTCAAAAAAAGTAGAATATTCTCTTTATAGGCTTAAACAGAAATGGTATGAATCAGGTGATAAAGCGGATAAATTGTTAGCCACCCAATTACGGGCCAAACAAGCAACGCGTCAAATTAGTGCGATAAAGAACAAGGCTGGGAACATAATGACTAGTCAGAAAGAAATTAATAATGCCTTCAAAGATTTCTATAAACATCTGTATGCTCAAGAAGGGAAATTTGATGCAAGTTCAGCACAAGAGTTTTTGGAAGTCTGAATCTTCAGAAACTGTCCGAAGAGAGTGCTGCACAATTAGAAAGACCAATAACCGCGGAAGAGCTCGTTAAAACGATTAAAGTCTCATTCAATGGAAAAACTCCAGGCCTGGATGGTATTCCTAATGAGTTTTTATAAAACATTTGTGTCTGAACTGAGTCCAGAATTATTGAAAACTTTTAACTCAGCTATCGACTCACGTCGATTTCCCACATCAATGACAGAATCATTAATCACTGTTATCCCCGAAAAAAGGAAAAGATCCTCTAGAATGTTCAAGCTACAGGCCGATAAGCCTACTATGCTGTGATGCAAAACTATTCACAAAAATATTATCACTGCGAATTAACAAAGTCATAACATCATAATACACCCAGACCAAACGGGCTTCGTCAAGGGCAGAACCTCATCGGATGGTCTAAGACGATTATTACATCTGATCTGGAAAGCCCAACAATCAAATGTTCCGGTAGCAGCCCTGTCATTGGATGCGGAAAAGGCATTCGACAGGGTTAGTTGGAACTACCTGTATTATGTGCTTGCAAAATTTGGGTTTGGAGAATCTTTTCTAGAAATAATAAGAATGATATACTCAGATCCAAAAGCGATGGTAACAACCATGGATCGAGATCATCCCAATTTCTGATCGAACGCGGGACCAAACAGGGTGACCCATTGTCACCTCTGCTCTTTATTATAGCTCTAGAGCCCTTGGCTCAAGCCATCAGACAAAATGAAACAATAAAAGATAACAATGGCGGACTAGACAACAAAACGCTAATGTTTGCAGATGATGTGCTGCTACTACTGTCAAACCCAGAGGAATCGCTACCTCCTTTACTAGATTTGATCAACAAATTTTCTGAGTTATCCGGATAAGATTAACTGGTCTAAATGCGAAGTAATGCCCCTGTCAAAATTTTGTCATAAAAGTCACATACAAAAATGGAAATTTCAGTGGGTACCAAAAAATTTTAAATACTTGGGCATAATGATGAATCCGGGCCTGGAAGACATTATTCTAGATAATTTTGAACCTATGATAAATAAGATAAGCTTGCTTCTAAAGGGGTGGGACAAACTACAAATATCACTGTGGGGTAGAGTCCAGGCAATTAAAATGATTATTACACCAAAATTGAATTACCTTTTTAATTCATTACCCCTTAAAATACCACATTCCATATTTAAGACTCTGGACAAAATCATGAACGACTTTATCTGGGAAGGGAAAAAGCCTAAAATGTCGACCCTAAAACTCCAGACTAAGATAAAATACGGAGGATTACGATTACCCGATTACGATTAGCTTTTATACGATTACGATTAGCTTTTATAAGCTCACAAATAACATCACTTATGTTAAAAACTCACAATAGTCCAATTTGGGTAAAATTGGAAGAGGAAATAAATACTCCATTCAAAGCTCTTGATTATCTATCTCAACATCCAAATGACGGCGTTAGATCCAATCCAATTATGAATCACACTAAAAATGTATGGCATCATCTACATAAAAAAGCAAATATTGTCCCTTCATTCAAGGAACAGCTTCAGTGTGGAAAAACCCAAAATAAAAATAGAGGGCAAAATGATCTTTTGGAGGAGATGGCACACAAAGGGATCGACAATATAAACTGCTTCTTCCAAAACGGCGACTTACTGTCATTTCAACAATTTCGAGAATTATTCGATCTACACCACCAAGATTTTTGGAAGTTCTTACAAATAAGGGACTGCCTCACCAAATTAAAGAAATCTGAGGAAATCATACCCACGGAATCACTAATATACAATACTTTTAATAAATTGAAAGATTCCCCAAAACGAGTAAGTCATATTTACAACTACCTGCTTGAGCGATTCCAATACACGATTTAAAAAGGTATGGAAATCAGAATTAAACAAAAGTTCACAGAGGAGCAGTGGGGTATAATAGTCAAACAGATCATGAAGCCCATGAGAGATGCGCGCTCCAAATTGATACAATTCAAAATTCTGAATCGCTTATATTGGACACCTGTTAAATTATGTAGAGCTAAGATAAGTAACTCAGATATTTGCTGGCGATGTAAACAAAGTCGGGGAACTTTACTACACATGTTCCTCATGTGCCCGAACCTAACTACTTACTGGCAGGAGGTTATGGATAAAATTAACAGCACCCTAAAGTCAAAGTTAATACTGACACCGACGTTGGGACTTCTTAATTTCCTAGACTACAAAGCCCAAATTGAAAGGAGAAAATTGCAATGGCTAAAAATAGCCCTCACCACGGCAAGGCGAATTATATTAAGACATTGGAAAGGTCAAAATACCCCTACCTGTACAGAATGGTATGCGGCACTCGTAGAGACTGCCTCTTACGAAAGACTCATCCACAAAATAAATGACCAATTTGAAGTATATCAGAATATGTGGGAACCGTTCTTAAAACCAGAGAGGAAAGGCCCAAATATTACTGGTTCAAAATAAAGACACTGTGTGTGTGAACCCTTTATTTATATTTAAGTTTATTTTTATTTATTTAATGTCTTGTGCGTTTTTTTTTCCCTGTTGGCTGAGAGGGGGAACAGGGGAAGACTGGGAGGGGATCAGGGGAGAAAATGTTAAAACCAAGTCCTATTATGTATAAATAACCAATGCTATATACTTTAAAGTACTGTTATTGTTAATGTTGTCTTTATTGTAAATTTTACTGTTGAAGAACTCAATAAACATTGAAAAAAGAAAAAAAAAGACACACAAAACCATCTATACATTTAATAGCACAACAAAAAATGTATCTTTATGACACTTTAAACCAATTTGCATCATAATTTGGAACACGGTGTAAAAGCATATTCATAGAAATGAAATCATGCAGCATTAATAGGATTAACTGTCGGTTCTGATCCGGTTTTGATCCAATTTTAATAAGGAGCCGAGAGCAATGGGTTGTTCCACATCACTTTATTGAGGTCACATGACACACGGTTGGTGGGCGGAGTCAGAATATTGACACATTTATTATTAGAATGATCAGAGTGAGTCACTGAGCATGCTCAGACTAACAGTAACAACACGTCACGGCTATCACACGCTAACCACACGCTTATGACACGCTACATGGAGCACCAGAACCACGACACAGAAAACATATGATCCATCAGAACCACTCTGATGAGAACCAGGTCAGCAGGCCCATGCAGCTGGGCTCACGCCACTCAGAACCAGGTCATCAGTACTCAGTCAGAACTCCGGAGCATCAGATGGCGGTGGGGAGCAAAGGGGAGGAGCTTAGCAGCATTAGTTCTAATGGTTTCTGATTGGTTCCCCTGTGCCTGCTCTGGTTAGCTGATGCTAGCTGTTTTCATGTTCAGAACCAATTAGAGAGCAGCAGCTTGGTCCAGAACCTAAACCGGGTTGACCCAGAACCCAATCGATGCATGCAACGACCCAAACAAACAGAACTTTGATCTAGAACCCGATGAAGCCCGGTTCCGTCCTGATGACTGGGTTCATTCAGTATTAGAACCAGTTTGAACCAGTCTGGTTTACACCAACCAATGACAAGGAGGACCAGTCCGGATACGATTTACACCAGTTGGATCTGTTGGAACCAGTAGAGAGCAGATCTCCCAAACTGGAACCAGTTTGGATGAGGGACCAATCGAGTCCACCACAGAACCAACTGGGTCAAACATCACCAGATCAGCAGAATATGATCAATAAGTGGCAGATCATCAGTAATCGATTGACAATAACTAATAAAAAAAACTCAAGAAATAACAAATAAACAACTGATAAATAACCGATAAATAGACGGCAAATCAAACTTTACACTGTAAAGAAACATCTCAGCTTCGTTCCGGAGGAACCAGGAAACTAAAATCGAGAACTGATCCCAGCCTGAAGATCCGGAGCGGAGTGAGGCATCTTGTTCTGTAGGACGTCTCTGCAGTTGTCCAAGTCCACAGTGAGACAGACAGGTGGACAGCAAGTGGTTTGGATTCATCACAACGAGCTACTAATGGTCACCAACATGAGGGGAGCGGTCACACATGGTTCAGGGGTCAGAGGTCATCAGGTCAGCCCTCCATGGACGACTGGGGACTCTCTCCGTGGGCGGGGCTACCTTTACTGGGGCGACTGGGACAGAGGACAGAGAGAGGACAGGTCAGCAGTGGGTCAGAACCAACGCAGCAGGAACCCATCTGGACCGGATCCGAAAAAGAATCTCATCGAACGAACGGCGGTACCAACAAGCCAAGTCCAGATGGATCAACAGAACCTGAAAGCTGATGGGAGCGAACCCAATGGCGATGGCTGGAGAACCCAGGAACCACACAGGACCGACAGCGGACCCTTCCAGAACCATCAGCAGAATTTTCTCACCGGGTGAGAGGAACCAACGTTCTGCTGGGTCCACCGGACCAACAGAACCAGGAGCAGAACCAGAACTGGCCGGGATGGGTCGGTGTTCACTTGTGCTACAGTGGTGGTGATTAGGTGGAATCAGAGGGCGGAGTCATGAGGCGGGGTATTTGGGGCGGAGTCATGAGGCGGGGTATTTTTAGGTTCAGGGTGGAGACGCAGCAGCTCTGACTGAGAAACAAAAACAAATGAACAGAAACAGACAGACCCACAGAACAGTCACATGACTAATGATGATGTAGAGGAAGAGGGCGGGGTAACAAAGCGAGACTCTGATTGGATGGCTGGAGATGCAGAGACATCAAACAGACAGCTGACGTACCATTGGTGGAATCCTCACTGGTCACTGATTGAGATTCTGAAAGAATAACCATATATGGTCAATATGGGGGAGGGGTCACTGACACACTGAAAGCTTCCTGTTTGCCTTATATGGTACTGGTAGAATACGATCACACAAACAGAGAGGAGACAGGGACAGGACTTGGATATGGATGGATGAATGATGGATGGATGTGATTAAAGAAAGACATCTCTTTCTTTTCTTCTTCTGTGGAGGTTGTTTGTGGATCGCGGTTTGTCATTCTACAGCACCAACAAAGAAGAACAACTTCCTCTTTATGTGACCAATCACAGACCAGCTTCTGGGCGGATCTGTGTCCTCATTGGTTCGGCAGACATTTTGAAAGCAGGACAGGCTGATGGACGCAGCATCAATCATTAAAGAGCGATTTGAGACAGCGTTCAGACTTACTTACACGCACACGTTTGTGCGGACTTTCAATTGACTTCCATTCATTTCTATAGCCGAACCCTGACCCTACCCAACACTCAATTCACACCTTTGTCCTAAATCTGACTCCTGAACCAAAAGCAGCACTTGTCCTTGTGGGACTAGGCTTTCGTCCCACAAGTAGGAGAGGGTCCTCACAACATCCCACACACACTCATTATACTCCCCCATGTTGTCTAATGTTGAGACTGAGGCCCTGTCCCAATGCTCTCCCTCCCTTGTCCCTCCTTGTGTCCTTCAGATGCCTTTCATGTTGAAGGTCAGAGGTCGAAGTGTGTCTCATATTCTCCATAACCGCCCTTCGTCCCATCCATATTGGATTCTATTTCCATCTTACTTGAAGTCCACATTTTTATGGATGTTATGGCAACAGATCCAATATCTGTGTCATTCCTTAGACACTGAGAGTAAAGGACGCATGAAAACTATGAATTTTAACAAAAAATATTTATCTATAAAAATTATACAAATACAAAAAAGACAGCTACAGTTAACAATTCCTTTTTCCTTCTTGTGCACGTTGGTGCAAATTAGATCAACAATCTTGTCGGTTCACATCATTAAAACCAATCATTTTAATGATGTTTGTGGGGACAACTATCCGTGTAAACTGTGGATAGTTTACTCGGTCAAAAACTGTATTGTCTAATAATCCGTTAAGTGAACAAACTGTCAATAGAATTTTTCTTTTACAACATATGCCCAACAGGAAGTAAGCCTTTCAAAATAAAACTAAACGTCACAATAAAAATTGTCTGAACAAATAGTCTTCTTAACTAAGTATGATAAAATAAAAAACAAACCATCAAACAAATTACTTAAATATTTTCTACTTAAGGCTCTAACATTCCGGCCCCTAATTGTATAGGCAGGATGCATAACAATTAAACTTCAAAAAGAGCCATACTAACCTAACAAAATATCTATCAACATTTTAGCTGTGACGAAACAAGCAGTCTTTCCTTGAATCCTTCTGCTTCTTGTAACAAACAGAGTTTACTAATAGCTCTATCTAACAAACTGGTCTTGGTTTGAGCTTGAACCCATCGTACAATTCCTCTAGAGTCCGGGAAGGTCCTTTGGATTCTTCCAGTCAACCAAGCGTTTCTTGGAGCTGAACTGTCAACAATGAGTACAAGGTCTCCAGGGATAAAATTCCTCATCTGAGTCCGCCATCTCTGCCGCTCTTGTAGCAATGGAAGATATTCCTTTGTCCATCTCGACCAAAACAAGTCAGCCATGTATCGTGTCTGTCGCCATCGTCGATGTGAATATGTATCATTGCTGTCAAATAAGCCTGGAGGAAGGACTGGCTGTTTCTTTAACAACAGAAGATGATTAGGGGTCAAAACCTCCAGGTCATTTGGATCATCTGATGCAGCAGTCAAAGGACGATTGTTTATGATCGCTTCCACTTCACATAATAGTGTGTGAAGACCATCATCATCTAATGTTTGTTCCCCCAAAACTGAGTTCAACACCTTTCTGACAGTACGAATCTGTCTTTCCCATATTCCACCTGGATGGGAGGCAGTTGGTGTGTTAAAGGTCCAAGCGATACCTTTAGTCATCAGCTCTTCTCTTATTTTAGAATGATCAAGCTCAGCTATGGCTTCTCTAAGCTCCTTTTTAGCACCAATAAAATTAGTGCCATTATCTGAGTGCAGAGTAGAAGCTTGACCTCTTCTACATATGAACCTTCTGATGGCATTTATGCATGATGAGGCATCCAAAGAGTGAGATCAACCTCCAAATATTTTCTATTTATGGCTCTAACAATGGACTTCAGGAGAAAGACCTGCTGCAGCTAACAGGAAGGGCGACAGACCGCTATCAGTCTCAGACCTTATATGGAAATGGAACCATTGCACTCCGGAAGTGAAGGGGGCGCTATTTCCTATATTATCTGCAGTCTCCTGTTTTTATGTTCTTTTGAAATCTGTGATATATCTTCACTTTTAATAAGGATTTTCACTCTCAGCATCTATTGAAATCTCTTTTATTTACTTCAGTGCATCTCACAGTTTATTCTGTAGCTTCCTGTGTTCTTCTAAATCTGCTCCTCAGTCGCATCTTTTTGGGTCTATTACCACCTCTAGTGGCATGGGGTGGTAACACAACTAATATAATTACATTACTAAATCAGAATAGCACAAAGTCTTTTTGAATTATTAATGTTTCATTTTTGTAAGGAGGTAGAGCTAATTAAATGATGTCAAAGTGACTCCAGTTTCACTTGAGGGCCAACCTGTTGAAACTGTGACAAACTTTGTGTGGTTCCTGGACAGAAAGCTCAGCTTTGCTGAAAACACTGACTATATTTTTAGGAAATGCATTATTATGACCGGAACTCTTAAATTGGGAACTCTCAATTCACAAAATTGTTCAAATATAATTCGGGTGCCAGCAGATTTTAAACCAATTTCCAGAAGCGATGTTTAGTGATGGTGTGGTGATTATTACAGATTATTTGATGGGTTACCAAAAACCTCAGCTGGTCTGTGTGCACTCGTAACACTCTTGTTACCAGTTTCTATTTATAGGATTCAGGTTAAAGATGCGACTGATGGTCTGGACCGTTTCCAGTTTCTCTTATCTAACTGGCAACGTACAACAAAAAACCCTCCTTAGAAATTTATGTAAGTTCCAGAGACACCAGTTAAATTAGTTTGGATCTTTATCTAAGTTTCCCTAACTTGGAATCTACTCTAAATGTTCATGCTATATCTAATATTTCATACGTCTAAAGGTTAACTATCTCTATAGTTATGCTAACTAGACTTATATTCTCAACACCCCCTTGCAAAAAACTGTGCATACTTTTGCCCGGTTGGATAATAATCCTGTGCAGTCGTCCGTTTCTGATTCCGTCTCAAGTGCTTCGTTGACAACTAGCCCAGTTCCATGGGCCTCCTAACTCGCCTGATGTTGAGGTTGAATTTGTTTTCTCTAGCGACCAAGATTTTCTCATTATCCCAAGTACAAGTAAATTGACACTTTCTTTGATTTTTATCTTTAATGTGAAATTTTTGCTTCCAGGTTTTTGCTTTGCTTAATGTCACAAGAGGTCAAAATACTTGCTGAAACACTCCTATGATGTTCATATTTGCAACCATTACTTGATGGCGAAGGTGACCTGATGTTTTGTGTTTCTCCTGTTTTGTTGCATTACTCCATTATTATTTCAATTTATACTCATTTTATATTTAATTCATTTTATCATTTTATCAGATGCTTCATTTTACCATTCAAGACATTTTATCATTTATGGATTTCATTCACTTGATTGTTTTTTGCTCCCTGAAAAAAAAAAAAAAAAAAAAAGAAAAAGGGTGAAATTGTGAAGAGGTTTTATTCGTATTAAATGATGTTCCTTTATGTATTATATAAATGTAATGTTCTTTGTATCACAGTCAAGGTGTTTTTCTGTGCAGCTGGAAACGGTGTACAAACTAATGAACCATGATGTGTCTACTGAAGTAAGTTTCCAGGGTTGCTGAACTTCCCCAGACAGTTATTTGGGAACTGGCTGTTTTTCCCGTGGCCTTCCCTGCATGGAGACAGAGTGTTTAGTTTTCACCTCCCATAGACATTACATTATATTACATACAAGGTTTCGTATGTTTTCCTTTGTTTCTTTTGTTTGGTCTTAGAAGATTGAGTCTCAGCCTCGGTAGTAAAGAGAGATGAATAAAGTAACTATGCAGCTCTGGGTTCCTCAGAGCGGATCCTAATTTGTGCCTAATGCAGTGGATTTCTTGCTCTCCGTCTGCAGATGTATTAAAGATTGTTTTGCTCCCTGACTTTTGTCTGGACCTCAGTCTCTGAATTGTGCACTTCACAGTTCTCAGAGACTCTGTTTTAAGAAGACTCAGTGATCTCTGGGTTACCCAACTAGAGCTTCTGTACCAGACAGTGTTGAGTTTGAACTTTTCATCTCCTCGGCTGGTTCCGTCTCATGAGCTGCAGATTAACAAGCTTTTAATGAAACTTTCACTGGCAGGTAAAACAGCAGGTAAATGGTGGTGAAACCAGAACCAACTTTATCTCAACTGTTTGCTGGAAGATGATGATATTTTAGCAGAGAGCATCCATCCTCTTTCTTCATCAGTTTGACCTCTGACCTCATGAAGCCATTACTGTTTTCCTCTGGTAATAACACTCTATTAGAAATCATTTATTGACAGGGCAATAATTATTCTTTACCAGCTAAATGATAACATTTACCTGCAGCTTGCTGAGTGTTTTACTCTATGTACAAAGAAAAATTTAAACAATCATAGATTAAATAGTTTCATCTAATTTTTTCCTATGTATCAGACTCTGTCACCAAAAAATATCTCAAAATAATATACTTGGACCATATGAGCAAAAATGGCAATTTTTACTGGTATCTGTTTAACAGATTTGTTATTCTTCTGTGAACCTAATTTATTTGTTTGTCATTAAATTTATTACATATACATTGCAAATAGTATTTTTATTATAGTTGATTATATTTTTCATGTCTCCTTATTTCTTTTATTCCACCTATAATTGATGGAGATACATGTATGTTGCACACTTAATGATTAATCAATGTGATTTTCTCAAGTTCTTTTATTTGATGAACAGATAAGCACGACTGTGAGCGCCTCCGCTAACCAGCCGTTTCTGCGCTAAATTGCCATTGGCCCACAGAGGCAGGAGGGCTCACCGTGCTCTATGTGCCCACTGGTGGCGAACTGCTGGAACTGCAGTTTAATGAATTTCTCATTCATGTGGGGGAACCCACATTTTGCTGCTGGAGGGGAACCCACATTCTACTGGTGGAGGGGAACCCACATTCTACTGCTGGAGGGGAACCCACATTCTACTGCTGGAGGGGAACCCACATTCTACTGCTGGAGGGGAACCCACATTCTACTGGTGGAGGGGAACCCACATTCTACTGCTGGAGGGGAACCCACATTCTACTGCTGGAGGGGAACCCACATTCTACTGGTGGAGGAGAACCCACATCCTGCTGCTGGAGGAGAACCCACATCCTGCTGCTGGAGGGGAACCCACATTCTACTGGTGGAGGGGAACCCACATTCTACTGGTGGAGGGGAACCTACATTCTACTTCTGGAGGGGAACCCACATTCTACTGGTGGAGGAGAACCCACATCCTACTGCTGGAGGAGAACCCACATCCTGCTGCTGGAGGGGAACCCACATTCTACTGCTGGAGGGGAACCCACATTCTACTGGTGGAGGAGAACCCACATTCTACTGGTGGAGGAGAACCCACATTCTACTGGTGGAGGAGAACCCACATTCTGCTGCTGGAGGGGAACCCACATTCTACTGCTGGAGGGGAACCCACATTCTACTGCTGGAGGAGAACCCATGCAATGATGGCCTCCTCCCACCAGGTGGGGCGACATCACACATTTCCACTGTTCTGTTTGTTCTTCTGTGTTTCATGAGCTTCTGTTGGTGACCTTATTAACCTAAATAATGGCTGATAATGTCAAGATTGTTTGGTTGAATGTGAACGGTATGAATAATCCTATAAAACGTAAAAAAATTCCAACTAAAATGTGAAAAGCGAAAGCACCGTTAATCTATTTACAGGAGACACACTTGTCTAAACTGGAACATGAAAAGCTCAGAGGCTTCAGATGTATTTCCAGCTCCTCCAAATCCAAAACCAGTTTCAGTCCTAATTCAGTGAAGTCTGACTGCAGTTTGAGCCGTCAACATGATCATCAATACAGAAGCCCAATAAAGGTTATTCTACAACTTTTTTCATGAATAAATCTGATACAAAAGGAAAAGGAAAGCAACATAGAAGAAAAGAGTATATTTGACCACTCTTCCCTAAGATCAAAACCAAATCTACCTCCTAACTTCATTATAGTGGACCAACCGGAGTCCCGACTTCAGCTCCAGAACTCAGGCTGTTTCCAAGATTATTGTCTCTTTCTAGCTTCACATACAAACACCAGACATGGAGCCAGATTACATTCATATGGGAATCTAATATAAATTTCAAATATTACAATTAGGGAAAGAGAAAGGAGCTGTAACATTAGTAAACAAAAAACAAAGAAATGATCCCATAGATGAATTCAGACGAATTATGTCTTTATGAGACAAACTGAGCAAAATTATCAGTTACATTGGAGTGAGGTTTTCAAATCCTTTATTTCTATTTTCCTTATTGTTATTGTGTGTTAGCTTATTGTATGAGGTTTCATTGTTTAAACACTAAAATATTAAAATCATAAAAACATGGGCTTTGAAGCTTCCTGGTCTAAATAAGTGGATGTCGTCAGATTTCGGTGGATTTATGGGAGTTTTGACTCTTTGTCGTTTGATATTGTTCACAGATAAAGTTCACGTTACTGCTGTACATCAGAGACACGTTTCTGTTGATAAACCCCCGGGCCCCCGGCTGCTCTTCCTTCTTGTTCAGTTGGTCGTAATATTTTTAAACTTTGAAGACAGGTCAAAAGTTTGCATGTTTTTACACAAACTTTGACGCCACGTTCATTTTCAGACATGCAGACTTGTGCGTAAAATATCTGGCTACACATTAAGTGCATTTGCATTTGCCCCTGGAGGCCCCTGGAGGCCCCTGGAGGTCCGCGGAGGCCCCTGGAGGTCCGCGGAGGCCCCTGGAGGCCCCTGGAGGCCCCTGGAGGTCCGCGGAGGCTCCGGGAGGCCCATGGATTCTCTGACTGCTAATGTCACTGGAGCAGAGAAACCAGTGGGTTGGACTGGACCAGTGCGGCTCCCCCGTCCAGACGGTGGTCATGTGATCGGTCCGAACAGCACAGAGATGCTTCGTTATGTAACGAGGCTTCATCCGGCTAACGCTAACATGTGGTGTTGGCTTGCAGGGAGCCCTTCAGGGCTGCTACGATGTCAACAGTGACCGCTGCAACCTGACAACTTCTGAACCTGCAGAACCGGGTCGGACCGGGTCCGGCCGCACTCACCTAGGGACTCCAGGAGGGGGCGCTCTATTGGGCCGTGAAGGGACAGACGGCGGCGCTCCTCCGGGATCGGGGGAAACCGCGGGTCGGGACGGAGCGGCGCGGCCCCCGGGGCGGGGCGGACCGGGAGGGGCCCGGCGCTGGGGGGTCGGGCTGGACATGGGAGACCTGCGGAGACAATCGGAGGCTCAGAGACCGCCTCGCCGCCCCACAGGAACAGGAAGGGCCGACGCCAGCTTACCTGCGTCCAGACGGCATCCCTGTCACCTGCAGCCACGAGTCGTCCACAGGGGGAGGTGCTGCCGTGGTAACGGTGGACGTACTGATGTCCCCGATGATGTTCAGAGCTTCTTTCAGAGCAAAGTACATTCGGAGCATCTCGTCCCGGCGCTGGGCCTGAGACAGGGACAGAATCAGGGACAGAATCAGGGACAGAATCAGGGACAGACTGGTGTTAAATTTACACAGACCCATAGTAGATGCTAAAATGCAAAGTAGCTTGCTAGCTATCAAGGTTGTTAGCAGACAGTTAGCATTAGCATCAACTGATAACTAGCTGCTAATATCGGCGTGTCTCACTGCCTGACTGAAAATAACGAGCTCAGTTCTCCCAGAGTTCCCAGTGCAAACTGCAGAAATACACCACTCAGTCAGAAACAACCAACCAGTGGATGGTGTTAGCGCCGTCAGTAACCCTCGTGTACATGTTGCCGCACCTTACATGGTCTGCTTCGCTGTAGCTGGCTCACCACAACAGAGCCTGACACAAATGCGGAGGTGGAGGAGGGGGGTCGCTAAGCTAACTAACATTAGTTAGTTAGCTTAGCGACTGATGATGTGGATTCTTGTAACGAGTTTGTTTGTCCACCATTAGTACATTTAGTAGCCTGTACGTGAGGGTGATTGACAGTGCTAAGCCCCTCCCTCCTATGGGCTCTAATTGGTTGTTTTTGGTGCATTTCCTCAGATTGAACTGACCTCTGTCACCATGGAGATGCAAAACATGAAATAAGTCACTGCAGCTTTCAGGCCAACCACTATTTATTTAGGTTTTCAAGACTTTGACCCCCGACCCCCCTCCTCCACCTGCTCCTGCGACTCCTCCATCAGGCTGTTCTGGTCTCCGCAGGAGTACAGCTGAGCCAGCAGGTCAGAGTGGATGAACTCCTTGGTCTGGGGAGCAGAGCGGACGTCACATGACACTTTGTCCTGACTGCACCTGTCGGCGCCTGTCCAGGTGTGTGAGGCGTACGTTGTTGACCATCAGGTGCATGATGGTCTTGGGGATCAGGTCCCTGACAGTGCGGTGGATGATGGACAGGTATGAGTCCACCAGGTTGCGGACGATCTCCACCTGTCTCTCCAGCTGAGGGTCCATGCTGTGGATCTGACCGTCAGAACTGGACTCCTCCGCCTCCACCTGCCAACACACACACACACACACACACACACACACACACACAGCGCTCCAGAACCTTCTGAACCGGCCAGCCCGGCTCCCGTAACCCTCCACTCACCTTGTCCTTGTCCTGTAGGGCGGAGACCGGACAGACAGAGTGAGGACAGAGTTTAAAGGTGGCCTGTGGTGAGGTGGAGCGCAGAGGCGGAGCCTACCACGCTGCGTTCAGGGTACACCCCTGCGCGTAGGAAAGAAGCTTTCCAGCTGTCCACCTCCTCCTGGGACTCGCTGGCCAGCTCCAGCTGCCGGTAGTCCTTGTAGACGTTCCTACAGGAACAGCGGAAGGGACAGGCTGAGCGTCCAGAACCGGGCCGGGACAGAGAGGACGGGGTCAGAGGTCAACCTGTGCTCGGTGTTGAACAGGGCGAAGACGTGCTTGCTGGACATGAAGCTCTTCTCGATGTCCTTTAGCTTCAGGTTGTCCACCGGCAGCATGTACTTCTTCTCCTTCTCCTGCAGGGGGCGACAGTGCGACGCATCAGGTCTGGTTCTGCCGGAAAACCAGGCCAGAACTGGCTCATCAGAAGCTTTGTTCTCAGAACCACCAACGGTCCCGGTTCTGGACCGGTACCGACTGTTCAACGTTTGTCTGCAGAAACCAGACCAAGACCCGTCCGGGTCAGAACCATGATTCCTGCAGCCGGGTCAGTGTGACCAGACCACAACCAGGTCTGTCTAACATCTGCCTGTACAGGCTGCGATTCTGGTTCTGCTTCTGGTTCTGGTACCTCGTCGTCCTTGTACCAGGACAGGGCCTCCGCCGTCAGGACGAACCAATACTCCTTGGCTCCGCCCTTCATGATGCCGATGTTGTTGATGGTGAGCCAGCCCTTCCGGATCACCTGAACCAAAGACATCAAGTACCATCAGAACCCAATAAGAACCGGACCAGAATCAACCAGTCCACTCACTTACCATGATCTCGTCCTGGTTCCCTGCAGCCTTTTTCTTGTTTATCTGGCTGCTCTTCTGCTGCGCACTGACACACACACACACACACACACACACACACACACACACACACACACAGTTAGGGGAGACACAGCTTCAGCTCAGGTGGGTCACCTGACCCAAACACCTGGGGATCTGGTAGGTGGACCCAACAGAACTGGATGAATTCCTCTGGTCCTGATCAGTTCAAAGATCTTACTTTGCGAAGCCAATAAAATCCTCATGGTTGGTGTTAACATAGGCCAGCTCGATGTCGATCAGCAGAATCACCTGGGGGACGCAGCAGATACAAACGTTACAGGTCCCGAGACACACCCAAGAGTCCTTAGAGACACCTTAGGAACCCTAGAGACACCCAAGAGTCCTTAGAGACACCTTAGGAACCCTAGAGACACCCAAGAGTCCTTAGAGACACCTCAGGGACCCTAGAGTCACCCAAGAGTCCTTAGAGACACCTCAGGGTCTCTAGAGACACCTCAGGGACTCTAGAGACACATCAGGGACTCCAGAGACAAGTCAGGGTCTCTAGAGACACCTAAGAGTCCTTAGAGACACCTCAGGGTCTCTAGAGACACCTCAGGCACCCTAGAGACACCTCAGGGTCTCTAGAGACACCCAAGAGTCCTTAGAGACACCTTAGGAACCCTAGAGACACCCAAGAGTCCTTAGAGACACCTTAGGAACCCTAGAGACACCCAAGAGTCCTTAGAGACACCTCAGGGACCCTAGAGTCACCCAAGAGTCCTTAGAGACACCTCAGGGACCCTAGAGTCACCCAAGAGTCCTTAGAGACACCTCAGGGTCTCTAGAGACACCTCAGGGTCTCTAGAGACACATCAGGGACTCTAGAGACAAGTCAGGGTCTCTAGAGACACCTAAGAGTCCTTAAAGACACCTCAGGGACCCTAGAGTCACCCAAGAGTCCTTAGAGACACCTCAGGGTCTCTAGAGACACCTCAGGGACTCTAGAGACACATCAGGGACTCCAGAGACAAGTCAGGGTCTGTAGAGACACCTAAGAGTCCTTAAAGACACATCAGGGACTCTAGAGACACCTTGGGGACCCTAGAGACACCCGAGAGTCCTTAGAGACACCTCAGGGACTCTAGAGACACATCAGGGACTCCAGAGACAAGTCAGGGTCTCTAGAGACACCTCAGGCACCCTAGAGACACCTCAGGGTCTCTTGAAACAGGTGGAGAAAAGTAGGACTGACCTGGTCTTTGGTGCGACTCTCTCTGTCTCTGATATGCTGAGTGACGATTCTTTCCATTTCCTCTCGCAGCATTGGATACTGCGCCAGCTGCAGACAGAGAGGAGGAAGTAGGAAGAAGGTGTTGCTCTGTGATGATTTGACCTTAAATCAAAGATTGTTTCAGCAGAAACAATTGTCTGGATGTTTCTGCTGTCTTATGAACCTCTAATTCTCTGGAATCACAGACCAGCCTTCACACTCTGGATTCCGTCTCACCAATTATCAGTGACCTTTCACCTACCTGAGGACGGCACACCTGAGAGAAAATGTCATGATGGCAGAACAGATAAAAGTGCAGTTGTTCAGTTTCCGTAGTTTCTTGCTGTTTTACCCAAACCCACAGCGGCCAGTGAAACTACTGGAACTGACAGAAGAACTAAAAGCAAACTACAAACAGTCCAGATAATCAGTCGATCTGAACGGAGCTTCAACAGAATCCTGGAAAACATCCAAACAAAAATGGAACCAAAAGCTTAATCAGTTGCTCAACCTTTTGAGGCAACCATTGCTGTCAAACCACACAAATCATTGACCCTGTAGTACCCTGTAGCATGTAGTACCCTGTAGTAGCCTGTAGTTCCCTGTAGTACCCTGTAGCATGTAGTACCCTGTAGTAGCCTGTAGTTCCCTGTAGTACCCTGTAGCATGTAGTACCCTGTAGTAGCCTGTAGTTCCCTGTAGTACCCTGTAGTAGCCTGTAGTTCCCTGTAGTAGCATGTAGTACCCTGTAGTACCTTGCTGGTGCACTGCCTCACGGTGTTGACCAGCTCACTGATCACCAGGTCGACACACTTCTGGCAGGGTTCTTTGATCTGGGCGATCTGCCGCTTGACGATGGTCTCGAAGGCCATGTCCGGTGTGAACAGACCTGTCCTGCGGACCAACACAGCTCGTCAGCACCGAGCTCTCACCTGTCCTGTAAGCACACCTGTTGGCCCTGTGGCAGACGTGGCCTCACCTGATCCCGTGGATGTTCTTGATGGCGTAGCTGATCTCCTTACGTAGAGTCTTCTCATCGGCCTCCAGCTGCAGTAGAGACACAGCAACACCTGGCTACCTGGTGTACCTGTTACCTGATTACCTGGTTACCTGTGTGAGGCGTTACCTTGACCAGTTCGAAGGGGAAACGCTCATGAAAGACACGGTTGATCTTGGCTCCTCCTGAAAGCTCGTAAGTTTCCACCTGATCTCCAGAACCTTCGATCCGTTTCTCAAAGTCCACCGCGAACTGCTGCACCATTCTGAGACACAGAGAACACTGGGACAACTGGGACAACTGGGACAACTGGTTCTGACTGGTTCTGAGTGCTGCTGTATGTGTGATTCTGTTCAGGTTCTTGTACTGACTGGAGCAGGGCCTTGGTCTTGCGGCTTGGGTCATCGGGCCTGAAGTTCTTGTACTCCTCCACCTCCTTCTCGATGGACAGCAGCTGGCTGCTGCAGTGCTTGCTGTAAGCGGAGGAGGAGGTGGTTTTAAGGTGTGGCGAGTCACGCAGGTCTGATGGTCAGAGGACTGGCAGGCGGTGGACCCTATAGGTCACATCATGGACCGACAATGAAATAGAACTTGCTGGAGCCTTGGACTGGACCCCAGATGAAGTCCAGCTGACCTGCAGTGACGTGGGCTGCTCACCTGGTTGAGGACCTTCTGCAGGTACGCGGTGCCCATCCGGTCGGCCAGGTGACGGTAGGACGGATGGGACAGGAAGAACTTCCTCTCAGCCTGCAGAGCGGCGGTGATGTCCTTCTTCCCATCAATGTCCTTCTGACTGCGGTTCACCACCCCGATGTAACCTGCACCACAACACGTCCCTTACTGTCCCACGGTGGACATCTGGACTCTGAGTGGACAGCTTTGTTGGCAATGACAGAAAGCTGTGGACTAATCAGCAGCCGGAAAGCTGTGATGTCATACCTCTGCGCAGCGGCAGCAGCTTGTTCTCCAGGATGTCCCTGGCGTCTGTCCCTTCGTCCATCAGGTCCAGCTTGGTGATGACGCCAATGGTCCTCAGACCTGCAACACACGGACACACCTTCACTTCCTGTCTCTGCCCCCAGGCAGGAAGGGGGCGGGACTGTGGCCAGACCTTGAGGGTCGACCTCCTTGGCGATCTTCAGGGCATCGGAGTTGGCGAGGTCGGAGTTGGCAGGGGACACGGCCAGCAAGAGACAGTTGTCCTTGGTGACGAACTGCATGAGCATGTCTCTGATCTGGTGCTCGATGTCGGCCGGCTGGTCACCCACCGGGACCTTGGTCATGCCGGGGAGGTCCACCAGCGTCAGGTTCAGCACTGCACACAGGACAGGTGGACAAAAGACAGGTGGATACAGAACATCTGGATACAGGACAGGTGGACACAGGACAGGTGAGTTACCGTTGGGGGAGTACACCCTCAGGTTGATGGGCACCGGACTGATTCCCTTGTTGTGTCCCGTCACTCGGTCCGTCTCCGCCTCGATCTCCTGACGAACTTCATCAAAGTCGATGAACTTCTTCCCCTTACAGTGGAGGAACTCTGCATACTCTGATCAATAATCATCTGATCAATAATCATCTGATCGATAATCGTCTGATCAATAATCATCTGATCGATAATCGTCTGATCAATAATCATCTGATCGATAATCGTCTGATCAATAATCATCTGATGGATAATCATCTGATCAATAATCACCTGATCGATAATCATCTGATGGATAACGTGGCCGATCAAGGCCATCTCACCTGTTGGACAGTTGATGAGCTGGAGCACCAGGGGGCGCCGCGTCACGATTCCTGATCCGCGAGGAAGGAAGTCCCTGAGCAGAGGGGGAGGAGCTTATTGAGGTCATGTGACTTTAAGGGAAGCTGGTCAAATCCAGCAGCCAGTCCTTGGCTCTGCTGTTGACTGCTTCCTGTTTCAGAACCTTTAGCTGTTTAGAACAGCCACAGTAAGAAGCGAACAGGACCTGCGCTCTAAACAAGCACCGATCTGAGCGAGGCGCCGCTAACGCTGAAGCTAACGCTGAAGCTAACGCTGAAGCTAACGCTAACTACAGAGGAAGTGAGGCTTCCTCTGTACCTGAGTCCCTCTTGAGTCCCATATCTGGTTGGCTGTCCGCGGTTCGGTTCGGCAGGCCCGGTTCTTACTTGCCCACGAAGTTCTCCAGGACCGAGGTCTGGTCTGTAGTTTCACCTGATGAAACTACAGACTCCATCTGCGCTCTGATTGGCTGCACACAGAAACACACACACACAGAAACGCACACAGAAACACACACAGAAACACACAAAAACACACACAGAAACACACACACACAGAAACGCACACAGAAACACACACAGAAACACACAAAAACACACACAGAAACACACACACACACAGAAACGCACACAGAAACACACACACACAGAAACACACAGAAACACACACACACAGAAACACACACAGAAACACACACACACAGAAACACACACACACACAGAAACACACACAGAAACACACACAGAAACACACAAAAAACACACAGAAACACACACACACAGAAACACACACAGAAACACACACACACAGAAACACACACAGAAACACACACACACAGAAACGCACACAGAAACACACACACAGAAACGCACAGAAACACACACACACAGAAACACACACAGAAACACACACACACAGAAACGCACACAGAAACACACACACACAGAAACACACACTGCATGATGCAGTCGTGACTGGCAGCAGCCAATCAGAGCAGAGATGGAGACAGAGCTGAAATAATCAGCCAATCAGGTGCGAGCTTCCAGCAGAAATTAAACTACAGACCTGAACATATCTGGGCCCGACCGGAACCAGTTTTGGTCCAGTCTAATCTCTAACTCTATTAAGCCTCTTGTTCTACAGAACCAGAACCAGACCTGCTACTGGTTCTGGTGCCAAAGATACAAATGGACCGGTCGGTACCAACTATATCCTGCCATCCTCTGCCAGAACCACAGAACGTTCTGGTTTTGCTCAAACCCAAAAGAACCAGGGAGACCCAAAAGTACCAGTGGGACCCAAAAGAACCAGGGAGACCCAAAAGAGCCAGTGGGACCCAAAAGAACCAGGGAGACCCAAAAGAGCCACGGAGACCCAAAAGTACCAGTGGGACCCAAAAGAACCAGGGAGACCCAAAAGAGCCACAGAGACCCAAAAGAACCAGGGAGACCCAAAAGAGCCACAGAGACCCAAAAGAACCAGGGGGACCCAAAAGAGCCACGGAGACCCAAAAGAACCAGGGAGACCCAAAAGAGCCAGTGGGACCCAAAAGAACCAGTGGGACCCAAAAGAACCAGGGTGACCCAAAAGAACCAGGGAGACCCAAAAGAGCCAGGGAGACCCAAAAGAACCATAGGATCGCCGGGCTCCACAGCAGTTCTTCTGGGCCCTCCTGGTTCTTTTGGGGCCCCATGTGGCTCCCGGCGGCCCGGTTCCTCTGCAGAACCCTGGCAGCCTGAGACCCGTGTCTCTGGTCGGCTGTCCGCGGTTCGGTTCGGCTGGCCCGGTTCTTACTTGCCCACGAAGTTCTCCAGCACCGAGCTCTTGCCGGCGCTCTGGCCGCCCACCACCGCGATCTGCGGCAGGTCCAGTTCGGCGTTCTGGCCGATGGAAGAGAAGGCGTCCTGCATGCGGTTCACCAGCGGGATCAGCTCCTCCATGCCCCGGTTCCCCATGGCGGCGGCTCGGTTCGGCCCGGTTCCGGAGGTTCGGTGGAGGGATGCTGAGGATGCTGCTGTGACCTTCAACTCCTCCTCCTCTTCCTCCTCGACGCTCCGCCGCTGCAGGGAGGAACCGCGCACACATCCGGGACACCCCTTCACAATAAAAGCACCGACACGCTTGGCTTTACACTTTTCATTTTAAAAAAGCCCACATCCGGTGACGTCACATTGCGGCTTCTGATCAAGTAATAAGTGAAGTCAGATTGATGTGTGTTGGAGCAGAGCTTATTGATTATGTAATAAACTCTGAGGGAAATCAATAAATTCACATGTTCGTATGTTTACTATATTTTAAAATATCTGAACTTTGGCAGCGTCTGATTCCAACAGCAATGTTTTAACGATAAGAATGGATTCTGTTCATTCACATATTTATGACTGTCCTCTATGAATTTCATTCATTCTAATACATTTTTTGGAAAAAAAAAATCAGAATCCAAACTTTTCTACTGTATGGAAACAAGCAAGAAAGCATGGAGAAATATTATTCCTAATGATCAATAATGACTGATGATATCCAGTTAGAGCATTGATGATCATGAAGCATAATTTTAATTTGGACACAAAGTTTAGTTTCTGCAAAAATCAGGAGCTAAATATAATATATGTTCAAACATCTGCAGCATTTTACAGAATAATTATTCTCAGGAAAGATAAAATCTGTTTCAGTTGATGAGCAAAACCAGGGACAGGTTAAAGGTCATTTTGGGGGCGTAGCGAAAACGAGGTCCATACGGACACGGCGTCCCGGATCTCTTCCTGTTTCCTGTCAGCCTACTAGACACTAGTAGTAGTTAAATGAAATATAAAATGTGGTTTACATTATTTTATTGTGTTCAAGCTCCAGGACCAAACATGACTTTCTCAGTAAACAACCTGCAAAGCCAAACTAAGTTTCAAATGTTTAGTTTGGTTCAGTTATTGATCTCATCTCTGACTAAAAAGTTTTAATGAGTGATTCCACTTCATTAAATTAATCATAAATATTGATTTATTGTAGTGGCTCTCAGTACAAGTGTTATTTAAGATATGTCTTGTTAAATTGCTTTATTTTTAAACCTTTCTTGCTTTTCAATGTCCTAGATCCCTGAGAACCTATAAATATGTAGAAATTGAATATCTGGGAGAATCATAACTTCAACTTAACGCTCAAAACATCGGAGTTTTTATGGAAAAATATTCAGATTTGACTGTGCACTTTTAAAGACTCTATGTAGAAGAAGATAAGAAATAAAGGCATACTTTATTTTTACCGTTAGCTACAGTAGCGCCTCTGCTTTCCGCTTCCGTACTCAGCTAGCAGCTAACGGCTAGCGACTAGCAGCTAACGGCTAGCGACTAGCAGCTAACGGCCAGTGTTGCGTTTGTGTTTTCTTGATCTGCACTCATCATCACAATGAACCACACTTCTTTTCTTAGATAGCTGTGTTCTTTTATTTGTGGAACGGTCAGGCACAGAGAAAACTTTTCTTCGTCTAATTCTTTTTAGAACAGTGCTGCATATATATAAAATCTCGCTCTCACTGCCCCCAGTGGACAACAACAGTACAACATGCACATACACAGAATGACAGGATATAGAACATAAAGCTGTACCTTACAAAGTAAAATCAGTAAACATGAACACATAACCCAAGATAACTTAAAGACAGGTTAAGATGAGAACATGTTCCAACAGCCAGCAACTAGCAGCTAGCAACTGTTAAGAATTAAAAAGAGGAAGAACTTGATTTAGCTCTTAATTAATTCTTAGTCCCGAATTCCTGTGTCTGTGTAAGTGTGCAGAGAGAAAAGAGCAATCATACGACGTCAGACTTCAGATATTCAGAGTTTTATCCAGAGAAAATCAATCCAAGAAGAATGTTACAATAATCATCTCACCTAACATCAAAAGTCCAAGACATGACAAAACAGAAACAATTAACTGAGTAAAAAAGACAGAAGATGCATCCTCCGGGAAACTCTCACTCAGCACAAAGAGATTCCAACTTCTGCTGTGAAACAAACCATTTTTTATAGACTGCATATTCTCCTCATTTAAATATATGTATTAGGAGGTGTGTTCTTTTCCTTTGTGTGGGCTGTCTCAATGTTAATTTTATTACCTCCTGCTAAAGAGCCCCAAAAGCAGATATACGGCAAACCCTTCTCGTACCAGCCGCTGTCCAGTTTGATATATGATTGCAGCTGCAGCGCTATCTGTGCCTCAAAATGTTTCCACAAGAAAGTAGTTTGTATTTTTAACCAAGCTTGCACACAATGTAATGCTAAATAATGACTATAAGTTGGATCTAATAAGTAACTAATTCAAAACATGCTTAAAGAAATATAGTTAATTCTAATATAGATAAAATTATTTATAAAAAGTTTTAAGATCCTAGTGAACTTTTGAACCATGCTCAGGAATTTGTTAACTGCCTGGCAGACAGACTCTCTGTCTAAAGAGATTCTAGGCTGTTTTCTGTAGAATCCTCCCTAAGAATTTATATAAGTTCAGAGATTCAGCAGTTGTTTTAGTTTGGATCTTTATCTAAATTTATGTGAATGTAGAGTGTACTTTAACTTTCTATGGTATATTTCATATGTATCAAAACTATCCTGTGCAGTATTGTGCTAATTTAAAATATTATTTCAACACAACTAGCAGCTAATGGCTAGCGACTAGCAGCTAACGGCTAGCGGCTAACGGCTCCAGTTTCAAACTCTTCTCATTAATGTAAGAGTCCATGGAGAAAACAGAACATGAAGGATATTCACACTGAAGGAGGGAACAAAAGATGATGCTTTGATTTGCTCTCTGAACCAGCTAATCACTAATCAATGCTAATCAATACAACAGATGAGTTTGGTCTGACGTCAGGCTACTCCATGCAGAAAGACCCCGGGCCGGGAATCGAACCTAGAACGTTCTTGCTTCACCACCGTGCTGCAGCCCCCAACTCACCAGATCACAGCATTAGTTGGGATTCAAACTCTCTGAAATACTTCGGTGTAGCATCTAAAATCCTATATTTTAGGCTACTGGTGGTTGTTTCTGGGCGTTGCTCGTTTTACGTGCCTTGAGTTAAGATTCAGGATGCCGATCCTCTACTTTGATTTATAATAAAGTCTTTTATTATCCGAAACGTTGTCCATAGTTTAGCATTGCCACTGAAATACACATAAATTCAACATCCAACCCAAACCAAACACAGTAGAAAACTGTGTCCTCTTCCCATTTGCCACACACTAAACAGCATTACAATTAACTTTAAATAACCCCTCCACCCTCAGACACTCAGAAAACAAAACACAATACGCCTTTTGGTGGTGATAACACAAGCAAGCATAAGTGGCTCCTACACTCGGAGTATTTCTGTCTCATGACTTGTCTGAACTAAAATCCTTCATCTTAGCTCCTTGGTGTCTGGAATAAGGTCAGATGTGGGGAGATGGAGTTTAATCCCTTTTACAAGCTCAGGGTCAAGTAGAAATGGTTAAAACAAATGTATTACCAAGGTTACCGTATTTATTTACACCTCTCCCAGCTGAGGTAACAGATAAAGACTTTTCAGATGAAATCACATCCAGGTTCATATGGAGTAGGAAAATCAGGAATCAGATTCAGAGCTACAGCTATGGAAGGACGACGGGGTACAGCCTGAATGTGTTCAGCCTGAATGTGTTCAGCCTGAATGTGTTCAGCCTGAATGTGTTCTGCCTGAATGGGTACAGCCTGAATGGGTTCAGCCTGAATGGGTTCAGCCTGAATGGGTTCAGCCTGACGGGGTTCAGCCTGAATGGGTACAGCCTGAATGGGTTCAGCCTGACGGGGTTCTGCCTGAATGGGTTCAGCCTGACGGGGTTCAGCCTGAATGGGTTCAGCCTGAATGGGTACAGCCTGAATGGGTTCAGCCTGAATGGGTTCAGCCTGAATGGGTTCAGCCTGAATGTGTTCAGCCTGAATGGGTACAGCCTGAATGGGTTCAGCCTGATGGGGTTCAGCCTGAATGGGTTCTGCCTGAATGGGTTCAGCCTGACGGGGTTCAGCCTGAATGGGTTCAGCCTGAATGGGTTCAGCCTGAATGGGTTCAGCCTGAATGGGTTCAGCCTGAATGGGTACAGCCTGAATGGGTTCAGCCTGAATGGGTTCTGCCTGACGAGGTTCAGCTGAATGGGTTCAGCCTGAATGGGTTCAGCCTGAATGGGTTCAGCTGACGGGGTTCAGCCTGAATGGGTTCAGCCTGAATGGGTACAGCCGAATGGGTTCAGCCTGAATGGGTTCTGCCTGACGAGGTTCAGCCTGAATGGTTCTCCCGACGGGGTTCAGCCAGAAGGGGGCAGGCTGTACCATTCAGGTACAGCCTGAATGGGTTCAGCCTGAATGGGTTCTGCCTGACGAGGTTCAGCCTGAATGGGTTCTGCCTGAATGGGTTCTGCCCGACGGGGTTCAGCCAGACGGGGGCAGGCTGTACCATTCAGGTACAGCCTGAATGGGTTCAGCCTGATGGGTTCTGCCTGACGAGGTTCAGCCGATGGGTTCTGCCTGAATGGGTTCTGCCTGAATGGGTTCAGCCTGAATGTGTTCAGCCTGAATGTGTTCTGCCTGAATGTGTTCAGCCTGAAGGGTTCTGCCTGAATGTGTTCAGCCTGAATGGGTTCAGCCTGAATGGGTTCAGCTGAATGGGTTCTGCCTGACGAGGTTCAGCCTGAATGGGTTCAGCCTGAATGGGTACAGCCTGAATGGGTTCAGCCTGAATGGGTTCAGCCTGAATGGGTTCAGCCTGAATGGGTACAGCCTGAATGGGTTCAGCCTGAATGGGTTCAGCCTGAATGGGTTCAGCCTGAATGGGTTCAGCCTGAATGGGTTCTGCCTGACGAGGTTCAGCCTGAATGGGTTCAGCCTGAATGGGTTCAGCCTGAATGGGCAGCCTGACGGGGTTCAGCCTGAATGGGTTCAGCCTGAATGGGTACAGCCTGAATGGGTTCAGCCTGAATGGGTTCTGCCTGACGAGGTTCAGCCTGAATGGGTTCTGCCCGACGGGGTTCAGCCAGACGGGGGCAGGCTGTACCATTCAGGTACAGCCTGAATGGGTTCAGCCTGAATGGGTTCTGCCT